CAGGAGAGAATAGCAAAATGAGTATGGCAGACCTATTCCAGGAAGGAATAAAGGTCCCAGAACATGTGGCAGTTGTCTAAAAATGAATTAGATAAGTGATAGTTCCTATATGAAAAGTTCTATAACACGGCAACGAAGAGGAAAGTTCTGTTCATTGTCATTTTAGGGAACAGAAGGATTGAGTAGCAGCTGAGGAAATAGTCAGTTTCATGGAAAGAAGGAAGTGTTACTTATTACAGAAATTAACACAGAGGTTAAATTCACAGGGAATGAAAAGAAAGATCATTTAGACTTCTGCTAGTAGAGTTTCCTTTTAAGGAAACATTACTCCACATACTAATTTACAGTAACTGGCTTGTTAGTTGCCAATCCAGGGGACTCCACTCCTAACTGCTAAGCAAAGCTAAGATACCAGTATGACTAGGCAATAGTTGACCCAATTTCTCCTTTAATGTCTCCCAAGCTGGCATATATTAGAAGAAAAAAAATGTGTAAATCAAATAAAACTCTAAAGAGAATACTCTCATCACTTTTCCAAAATATCTTAAAACGACTGCTGAAAAAAGCAGAATATATTAGAGGTGCCTATTTATACTTCAGAAGCAAGCAAAAATCCAGCCCAAGATCTAGAAGTTACTGTGCAATATGACATACATAGACACAGCCTTGATGGGCAAGAAAAAAAAAATAAGCAGCAGAGTGAAGGAAAGAATAAATTTACTCTGTTTTTATGGCTTCAGGTTATCATCATCATCATGATTAATTAATTCCCCAGCGATAGGTCCTGTAAGACCAAATATGTGAACAATAGGAAGCTCAACACCTTAATTCAGGAATTCCTAGGAACACCAATGACCCAGATATCATGCAGTTTTCCTCAAACTTACAAGCACATGGAAAGCTTTTCAATAACAACTTGTGGCAGTTGCCATAAATACTGTGATTATGTCAAAAAGGCTATCAGAACATCAGATCGATAAAGAAGGACTTATCTCACACTATGAAGGACTATTATAAGAAAAATGTGTAACTATGGTCATTTTTCAAGGGCTTCTGATATGGGCATTCATAACCAGCTGGAACAAAAAAGGGAAAAGGACAAGTGAAAAGGTTGAGGTAGGAACAGGGGCACGAATGAGGCAGTGCATACATAGCAGGGCACAGAAAAACAATCTCACTGATAGAGTTACATGACAAAGTGGGCCTTGGGCATAATGTCAACTGACTCCAAGCAGGTCTTGTATCACAATCTGGCAGAAACAAATTCAGGCACTCCTAACCTAAACAAAGGAAAACATCAGATGCCCACAGCTTGTGCTAAGAAAGAAAAAATACTTTCTAGTTAAAGCCCAAGTGTCAGTTACCTGTAAAACTATTTACTTTAAATAACTCCCTCATATACTGAAGAACTTACTTTGAGATTAAAATATTTTCTTCAGCGACTATAATATTGAAAATATTCACTATATTTCTCTTTAAATATCTTAAAAATCTGTATTAGTGGCTTTTACTGCCAGAAACTGTCAGGCATCATTGCTGTAATTACTCATTTATAGTGAGATTTTAATGCTTTAATCTCCTAAATTAATGTAAATCTCAACTGCACACCTGTGTTTGCATATTCGCTTTGATGGGCTCTGTCACCTTAAATGTCAGCATTTATTTCTCTTGAGTACTGCTTAAGGATTTCCTGTGCTCCCTAGGTGACTGACTTTGCACATAGACTATTTAATGTGCCTTGAGAGCTGAAAATAACATGCTATACATAAAAAGCTTCAGTATTTATCTGGATGACAGCACTGTTCCTTAAAAACGTTTGGGTTTTTTCGGTTTGTTTGGTTTTGGGGTTTTTTTTTAAAGTACAAGAAGTATAGAATAGACTGAAAACATTCTGAAATATCTTCAGAACCATTCCATGATTCTCTTGTTACTGTGATAGAAAACCATTCAACATATCAGGGGAAAGTACTCTTAAAGTATAGATTAAAAACAACCAAGCTGTAGAAACAGAGGAAAAAAACAACAATTACACAGCAGAATCTTCTTCTCGTATTGAACAGCCCATATTAAAGTGTCACGAAAGGCAATGTGGCACCTCCCTCTTTTCTGGTCAAAGAAACATTAAAAGCAGGAAACTCACATCTGAACATACCCAAAGGCTGACAAACCACATAATGCTAAAATAACATAAACATACACAACCAAATGAAAAAGGAGTGAGTCCTGGATCCATGTGTGGTTGGTTTTTTAAAAAGCAAGTAAGCTTAGTTCTGAGGAAAGCCTACTAGCCAGTCTTCCAGTCTCCCTTAAGCAGTTCCCCAAAATTTGGCAGGCACCTGATAGCAAGCCACCTACGAAATATTACATAAAAAGTCAAGACAGACAAGATTACAGACTGAGGTCCAGAACTTAAAGTGTCAAATAAGGATAAAAAAAAGCTTTACTGAACAAGAGGACTGGAGGATTACTGAATAGAAAGTTTAGCAAATGTTTGGTCCAACGCTCTAAGCTGAACAACTGGATGCGTTTTGCAAGACAGAAGGATTTTAATTAACATGAAGCAAATGCTATTCAAACAGCCATTTTCCCAAGGAACGGGTAACATCAAGACAAATACCCCACAACTGCCTATCAATTAGATGACACAGCTTTAAGAAAACTACACTTTAAATGAGCTAATAAATACCTATAATATTTTTTTACCAAAATATTATTTCCTAAAAGTTATTACTACAAGAGTGTCATTTAACAAATGCTGCTCCCAGGCCAAGCCTAACCCTTCCCAACTCAAGCCTGTTTCAGATATGCATGGAATTCCTCAGTAATATTCAAACGTTTTACACATGGTAATGCAAGGAGGGATTAGTTTTCCTTAAAATCCCACCAGAATCAGAAGGGGTGAAAAAAGCAGAAGCCGGGAAGTAGTTTTCAATGAAATGATGCTGTGTTGCCTCAACAGGCGTAAGAAAGTAATACCTCCTTAATCATTTTGACATATTGAAGGCACATTCAATAACACAGAAACAAGCCATACTCCTGGCTATTTCCAGCAACCTGCAAATATTAATTTATTCTCACAAGCCTCAATGCTGAAACTGTGACAGGACAATATGTGGCTGGGGAATAAGCAATGGAAATACAGCTCCACAAACACACTGTTTGCTGAAAGGTCTGTTGAACCTAAGAATGACATTTCTAATAGTCTCTCGAAGACCAGGAAAGCCCATTTGTTACTGTTTAGCTAGACAAATTCATTCTCAACACTGCACAAGTCATCTTTCATCATCAACATGCACTGCTGCCAGTTCGTTCAATCCAGTAACATATAGTATGTCAGTCACATGCTGTAGAATATTTAAGTTCTCCTAATTAAGCAGTATTTTAATAGAAATTTTTTTTCAGTAGTGATGATTGTTACATTAATTTTTATTAATTTAAGTTTACTCCAAGAGCTACAGGCAAAGCTGGAGCTTTCTAACAAAGTACTTCATAGCTGCAATGCAAAATTTTATTGAAATCATTAACGCAGAAACTGCAACGGATTTTCCTGTAATCCACACAGATAAATGAAGCAGTATGTAACAGCAGCAACGCTTCTGTAACATCCCTAAAGCATCTCAAAAGCAACAGTTGTTTGTCTACATAGATCTGGTATTTTCAAGGTTTTTCATGAATCGGTAAAGAACTAGAATGAGTAAATCAAAAGGGAAAAAAGCTTTGAACCAAAGTTCTAATTAGAAAGCAACAACTGTTGAATAATAAGAGTTGCTTATTAGAATAAGAGCATTTACAGAATTTTTGACACAACTCATATTCTGCATTCTCCATACTTAATGGGCCAAAATCAAGTGGTCTATTAAATGAGAATATAATTCACATGTACGTGCATGCATAGTCTAAGTAACAATAAACCTTATTTAATTGTACATCATTTATTTTAAAATTATTTATAAATCCTTCAATATGGCAGGCAATTTTTAACTACTGTATCTAATACCAGCTTTTTTTTTTCCTTAAGCAAAATCATACTCTTGGTTACACATCTGTAGCTCCAGTAATTCACTTAATATGCACGAACAAGCAGAATCAAAATGATTTCTAGCATGTACAAACATACGACCATGTGTCAAAATTATACTTGCAAAGTAGAAGCCTATTATTTTTAACCGACAGTGACAATCACACAGTAAGTTACATTCTTGAGCAATCCATACAGGATTTTCATACTTGATTATTAAATTTTAATTATGTCCTCAACAGCTACCTTAAGTATTCCTTGAATGCATGTCTTTTTAATTTTCACATCGTTTTCCAGATGTCAGTATTTACGAAATCGTACGATGTACAAAGTCCTCAGGTCACTGTGATTTGCTCTGGTTACTACAGCAAGAAGCCCACATCTTAAAAGGTTCTAGAGCAAAGTTTTTGATTAGAGACATTTGTTGATCAAAACTATTTTCCAGTTGAAGTCAGTAATATTCCACACACACTTCAGGTTAGAAACAAACACAGCTATCACTTTCTCATCAATGAAACCTTTAAGGTGAATTATCACACAATTCATTGCTTACATGTAAAAGAAAGCAAGGTAATTCTGACCTGAGTGTTATTTGCCCTGACTGACAGATGAGACATACAAACACCATATCTGAAGGACATAGACTGGATCTAACCCATCCAGAATCTGATTCAAAAATATCTATCAGCTTTCGTAAACATTGTTAACTTACTTTTGTAATTACACATTTTTTCAGGTAAGTGTTAGTTGACTGCAGCAGACTGAACTTCTCTTGCTGCAGCACATAATCACATCACTTAATCCTCACTTCTGTGGAATGCACAGTAATCTCCAAGTACAGAAGTTCTGTATGGTTCTTCTTTTAAAGCCATAACTGCATACTTTATTTTTTAAACAGAAGTACTAAAACTGTCTTACTGAGAATTTTAAAAAACAGCAGGCACATGCAACATAACACAAATACGTAAAGTAACATACTTACAGCTTCAAATGATAAGTTAACATGTTTCAGGAATTTCTGTCTTAAACTGTCAGTTAATTGACTGAAGCGATACCGCAAGAGATCCATTTCTTGTTGAAGAAACCAACGCCTGAGATCCTCACTGCAAAGAAATAATAGTTTTAAAAAAAAAATACATTTTCTGATTACACATTCTCTCTTTCTTTATAAACTATATGTCAAACCTAGTGAACACACCATTAAATGTAATGCTGACTTCGGCATGGGACCCACAAACCGAGGAGCTTGGAAGAGAAGGCAGGAAACCTTCAGGAAGGAGTACTCAATCAGAGAAGACTTGTGAAGAGACGATACACAATGAGGCACGACTGCAGATGTTTTGGAAGAACAGAGGTAGTCAATCTCAACACTAAAAGTTGTTGTGTAGCTATCAAAGCTGTCTGTCTCCTTTAAACGGTACTCACCACTTCTTACTTATTTTAGGTAAGAATAACCAACTGCAGATAACATTCTCTGGTATTTAAAGGACAGCTTTTTTTCTTCAACATGGCACAATATTTCTTCATTGTACAACTAAAGCCACAATTAATTTGATGAGGCAAATACATTATGAAGCCTACTTCTTTTAATTCTTATTTTTGAGGTATCTGCAGCTGAAGGAAAACACACACATCTCATACTGTAACAACAATGCTCTATGCTAGGCAACAAATAGCCTGGAAGCAGGCAAAAGGAAAATATATAACAATGAACTTGGGTAAGGAACACAAATAGAACATCCAACACTTGATAAAAGAGCAAAAGGGGTTTAAGCAACTGCAGGTGAGCAAGGAGGAGAATAAACAAGAACACAGGGACAGGAGTCAGTAGACAGCATAAAAGAAAAACAACACTGAAGCCAGTCTCCAGGTACTCTAAGTACTCATATTACTCTCTACATCCCAGCACTGATCCCCAGGCATCAGCACATTACTCAAAGCTATAGCACACAGGTACCACAACATGAGTAACAAAAGCCACCCTGTACATAAAAGCAGAGAATGCCTATGATCCTGTACCTCACTACTACAGGGCATGCTTTTAGACTGTCCTCCAAGAGCTACGCTGAGGGCTACTGTCACGACAATTCACAGAGCACAGAAATACTGCAGTCTGACATGTTCTCCTTACAATATTTAAACATCTTTTCCCATAGGGCACCAGTGAATTACAACAGAGCTGTTCGTGGTTTTAGGGACAAAATCTGTGCTTGAAATAGGTCTTGGAGAAAAGTTATTATTATTCACATTATAATTCCAGATGGAAAGGCTCTGTTAAGGTGCTTTGTGAAGTATAACCCTGTGGACAGTTTCAGTGCTTGGGATGTATTAATAATCTGTGCAAATTAAAATGGAAGATAATGCCTTTACAACCGATCTTCTGTAGTTCTGTGATCATCTGGGACAGTAACAAAAACCTAGGATGTGAAATTTTGTTCTTTCC